AATTCAGTCATTTGAGCTGCTTGGGTCATTTAAGGCAATTTAGTCATATGAGCTGGTTGAGTCACTTGAGGCGATTCAGTCATTTGAGCCAATTGGGTCATTTGAGGCAATTGTGGCATTTGAGCTAGTTGGATCATTTGAGGCAATTCGGTCATTTGAGCTGGCTGGATCATTTGAGGCAATTCAGTCATTTGAGCTGGTTGAGTCATTTGAGGCAATTCAGTCATTTGAGCTGGTTGAATCATTTGAGGCAATTCAGTCACTGGAGCTGGTTGGATCATTTGAGGCAATTGTGGCATTTGAGCTGGTTGGATCATTTGAGGCAATTCCGTCATTTGAGCTGCTTGGATCATTTGAGGCAATTCGGTCATTTTCGCTGGTTGAGTCATTTGAGGCAATTCAGTCATTTGAGCTGCTTGGGTCATTTAAGGCAATTTAGTCATATGAGCTGGTTGAGTCACTTGAGGCGATTCAGTCATTTGAGCCAATTGGGTCATTTGAGGCAATTGTGGCATTTGAGCTAGTTGGGTCATTTGAGGCAATTCGGTCATTTGAGCTGGCTGGATCATTTGAGGCAATTCAGTCATTTGAGCTGCTTAGGTCATTTGAGGCAATTTAGTCATTTGAGCAGCTTGGGTCATTTTAGGCAATTTAGTCATTTGAGCTGGTTGGGTCATTTGAGGCAATTCAGGCATTTGAGTCAGTTGGGTCATTTGAGGCAATTGTAGCATTTGAGCATTTGGTTGGATCACTTGAAGCAATTCAGTCATTTCAGCTGGTCGAGTTATTTGAGGCAATTCAGTCATTTGAGCCAGTTGGGTCATTTGAGGCAATTCAGTCATTTGAGCTGGTTGGGTCATTTGAGGCAATTCAGTCATTTTAGCTGCTTGGGTCATTTGAGGCAATTCGGTCATTTGAGCTGGTTGGATCATATGAGGCAATTCAGTCATTTGAGCTGCTTAGGTCATTTGAGGCAATTGTGGCATTTAAGCTAGTTGGGTCATTTGAGGCAATTCGGTCATTTGAGCTGGTTGGATCATTTGAGGCAATTCAGTCATTTGAGCCAGTTGGGTCATTTAAGGCTGCTGGAGCATTTGAGGCAATTCAATCATTTGAGCTGGTTGGGGCATTTGAGGCAATTCAGTCATTTGAGCCAGTTGGGTCATTTGAGGCAATTGTGACATTTTAGCTGGTTGGATCATTTGAGGCAATTGTGACATTTTAGCTGGTTGGATCATTTGAGGCAATTCAGTCATTTGAGCTGCTTAGGTCATTTGTGGCAATTTAGTCATTTGAGCAGCTTGGGTCATTTGAGGCAATTGTGGCATTTAAGCTGGTTGGGTCATTTGAGACAATTCAGTCATTTGAGCTGGTTGAGTCATTTGAGGCAATTCAGTCTTTTAAACTGGCTGGGTCTTTTTAAGGCAGTTGCATCACTAGAACTGATTTGGTCCTTCAAGGCAATTCAGTCATCTGAATCAGTTGGTTCATTTAAGGCAGTTGGCTATAATTGACTGATCAGGTCATTTGAGGCAATTCAATCATTTGAGCTGGTTGGGTAGTTTGAGGTAATTCAGTCATTTGAGCTGCTTGGGTCATTTGAGGCAATTCAGTCATTTGAGCTGCTTGGTTCATTTAAGGCAATTTCGTCATTTGAGCTGGTTGAGTCACTTGAGGCGATTCAGTCATTTCATGGTTCGTACGCTTTTGACTTTCTGACATTCCATGACTTTCCATGACTTTTTCCATGACCTTTTCCGATTTTCCATGACCCAATTGTTCAAATTATTTTTCTCAATATATACTTACAGTACCATCAATTCGTTTTTTCCTTGCATGTTAACCAAATTGTAGAAAAGAAGAAGATGCTAAGACCAGTTAAATTCATACGTATAACACGGAATCTTTATTTCCGTGCAACAAAATGACACAAGTGCAACAACACGACGTAAACAGATACTTTTTTACTAAACTTTACAGTCCAGAACTATATCTTTTAAATTTCCTAAGATAAACTTTACAGTCCAGAACTATATCTTTTAAAATTTCCTTATAAAACTGTACAGTCCAGAACTATATCTATTAAAATTTCCTAACAAAATCTATACAATGCAGACTTAATTTCCTAACAAAATCTGTACAATCCAGAACTATATCTTTTAAAATTTCGTAACAAAAACTGTATAATCCAGACTTAATTTCCTAACAAAACCTGTACAGCCCAGAACTATAAAATCTTAATTTCCTTACAATACAGTCATTGTTTCAGTGTTCACAATTGCAGTATGAGGTTTCAGTTTTCATCTACAATATAGAAAAATATATGAGTGCATCCTTGTATGAACAAATCTATTTGTTCAATGGTTAAATGCTTGCAATTCTGGTAAATAACTTCAAGAAAGCAGTACTTTTGGACAGGTTGTCACTCGGACTTATTTATCACACTCTTCCAATTCCTTGTTTAAGTTTTCTAGTTCTATCTTCTTCTCCTTTGCTGCAT